AAAAAAAAATCCCGGATACATAATATTGTCCAATGTCCATAGATATTAAAACGGTTTAATGAACACTTAATGGAATTTTTCAATTTGAACACGTTATACTTCGCCAAAATAATTCGACAGCGAAAATGAGTAAATATTGTCTTTTCTAACTTTTTTTTTTCAACCATTAAGAAAAAAACAAATAATGATGATATCAAAAAATGAACGCCTCGATGCACTGACTAGAGACTTAGTCACTAGCCAGAATTTGTTAATAGAAACAACCCCCGAAGTTAATAATCTAAGCAAAATGTCGATGGTCGAAAAGTTGTTTATAGACAGAAAAAAGCGAATAGTATAGTATAATAAAAACCATGCACTAGACTCGACATGGTTTACGAGCTATCTACGTAACAACACATACCTAATGATATTTTAATAAAACGAACAGTCATCAAAATTATAGCCGCTAATTAGTAGATACACAATGAAACTAGACGCATTTAAGAATATGGTATTTTTTAAAATATCATTAAATTACCATAGATAATTACATTATCTATTTTATTACATTACATTATTCCGCCGTAACAATGAGCTCGTAAAATTAATATTGTCTATACAAGCTTAAAATGATAAGACGGGACCAATTTACTTTAAAATTGATTATAATTATTGAACGTAGGTTTAAGAATTACAAGAGTAGTTTTTGCAATACGCTGTACTTTTAATAATAGGTAGGTGCATAATCAATTTCATTCATTGATTTAAAAAAATAATAATAATATAAAAATTTAATATAATGTATAAATAAAAAACCAAAACGTAAACACTTAATATTTTAATTTGTGAATAAAAATAGCTGGCACGAGACTTTAAAATTCCGACTGGAAAATTATTTCGTAAATTAGTTAGTAATTTTTACTCATCTTTTACTCAAAGTTCGAAATTTTGAACGCCCCGAAACTAATTTTTTGTATGACGTCAGGGTACGCTAAACCCTAGTACCTAAGTACCCGCATCGGTGAGACTTTTTTTATCTAAAATTCGGGATGTGTAACCCCATTTTAACACACATAGACCGCATTTTTATTCCCAGGTACTAGAAGAAATTTACCTAGCACCCACATACGTGAAAAATTGGTTTAGGGATAAAAAAAAAAAACCTACATGAGATGATTGGACGAATTTTTTTTATTATTTACACCCTGAAATTCGGAAAGAAAATTGAATTCTTCGTAGAAATCCGGGCCTTAATATAGGGCATATTTACTGAGGCAAAAGGGATTGGAGATTTCCCCCCTCCAAGAGGCGTACAAGGGGCATACTTCTGTAATAGTAGTGGGCTGAGTATTATTTAGAATTTAAATTTTAGATGGCCACCTAAATTATGTTAACGCGCCCCAACCAACACTTAAAAAAAAAAAAAAAAAACAGGTTATAAATACGCCACCGATAAAACCTAATTATTAATTATCCGTACTAACTGTAAAACATACTAGTCATTATTATTCAATTCAAGGTCACGGCAATAATCTATACGTATTATTATTATTGTAATCCATCGCATAGCGTTAGCCGATTAAATGTACGCGTTATAATTAGGGTCGGCGTGTTTTTACAGTAAAAAAAATTGCTAATTTTGCGTATAAAAATAATACAATACACGTGTATAATGTTTGTACAGGGTTTCTCAGCGTCGCGAAGGAACACTTATATAAATATATATTCGTTCGTAAAAACGGATAAACGTGTGTGTCCGGGCCCCGCGCATAAAATACAGAAAATCTAACTCGGGTTCAGATTCTGTTAACATACTTTCAAATGCGAGGATTTGATTTTCTATTAACGCGTACCGAAAGCCGCGGAATATATGTTGAAAACAGAAAACAAACCCCATGATAAATATATGCACTTATAAAATATACTAGTTCGCGACGAATTTAGAATAGAGTACGGATGTTTTTCGAATACAGACGTCGTTAAACGGATTTCTACACACAAATCAGTGAAAAAAACCGCACAAAATCATAAATATCCCAATCCCGTTTACAATATAAAGTCACGTTTTTTTTTTTTTTTGTACCATAATGTAGGTTATGAATTTGAATAATATTCTGCAATATTCGCAGAAAATATAACGAATTTAATTTAAAACGAAAACTACACCGGAGTAACGATCTAACGACGTAATATACCTGCGTGTCTGCAGATTCTGATCGCAGTGTAGTAGCCGTTTCGTTTTACTACAATATGCGTGTATTATTCCTTCTCGAAACACACGTTATGGTTTGTAAAAATGCCACGGTTTGTTCATGCCGTGCACAAAAAGATGCGAGTTTTCGCCAGGCGGTTTGACCTTTCGTTGAACATTTTCGCTCAATTCGTCTACAAATTTTGAAAAAAAAAACCGACAACAAACGATTTACTTGTTCGTTGTTTCCTGGCAACGGCACGTCTACGGGGAGTGCAGACCGGGAGTTCTGCACCCCCGGACACGGATGCGATTTCGATGAGACGTCGTCTAAATAGAGAAACGTCCATTAATGTCTGACGCCTTTAGAAACACGCGCGGTTGTTCGGGACGCCCGCCAGGAAAACGTTGAAAACCCGCCGCCGACCGGTGGCCGTACAACGGAAACGAACGCCGGCCGTGCACGAAACGCTGCGGCGTGGTCGGCTCACCGGGACCCGCTCAGAATCGGATTTCTCCCACCCTACCCCACCCATCCCACCAAGAACCCAACTCGTTGTTGACCGCCGTCGTCGCGTACGTCCAAAATACGTGTGTTGCCCTATATCCCGTGCGTGATCGCGCCTCGACGGCTTTCGCCCGCAATAACCGGCGGCGTATCCGCGCGGCATTTTTTCCCGGCGACAACGCCAGCGTCAATAATAACCGTTGAAAAAAAAAAAAACCGCGGGATCGCAATTGCCGTTTGTTGTAAACGACGGCGCGCGAGGCACGCGGATATGTGCCGTACACACGCCCGGTAATTATTTTCGGGCGGATTACCCGCGTGGCGCTGGCAACGCGCTACAATCAACAGTGTAACAGGACGTACCTGGCGTACGCGTTATTATACCGCGCGTGTGCGCGTGCGTGCGCGCGCGGAGAAAAAAATAAAAAAAAATAAATAAATAAATAATATCCGAACGAATCGAGTTTCACATTATCGAAAAATTATAATACACGCGGCCGGCCGGCCGGCCGTCTCGTCGGTGATTTTCGTACCGGCGGCGGCGGCGGCGGCGGCGACGACGAGGACGAGGAAAACGCCGCGTCGCGTTCTCTTGCGCGCGTACCGGTCGGTAACGACGTGAGTGGGGACGTCCGAGGGAAAGTCTTCTTGGCGCGCACTTGTGCGGCGCAGGTCATCAACTATAACGGCACCTTGCCCGGTATATAGCTCTTCTAAGTTTATACTACTCTTTTAGTCAACCACCGAAGCTCAGCACGCGCATTTAAGAGTTGACTTGAACGCGTCGGCACAGTGTTTCGGGTTCGTTGTCGTTCATCACCGTCAGCCGCGTGCGCAACAACCATCCACATCACCGCCGCAGACTGCAGTGCGCGTGTGCCATATTATTGTTGTTACGATAACCGAGTGTTGACGGACGATTTGTTTTTTTTTTTTTTTTATCGTTTTTCTTTAAGTTTTCAATTTTCGTTCGGATCGCGAACCCGACACACGAACTCACAAATACCGCGGTTTCGCCGAGAAGACGTTTATTTTAAATAAATCTCAAAGGTCAGTGTGATATTCATTTTTCTTTAGACTCTCCGTACTCTACCGACACCCGGGCTGTACCCTGGGCCACTGCGGGTCGGCCGACGGACGGCGTACGCGACGGCGACAACCGCAGCGATCGAAAATACGTACACAATATACTAATCGCGAGTGAGATACCGAAACGCAAACGTTCGTTTTCGTGACGGTTTGAGAAACGGATGATTTTAATTTAAAAAAAAAAAAAAAAAAAAAAAAAAAAAC